CAAAACATTGTACTGTATTAAAATATCACTATCCCACTAAAGTTTATTTATTATTATATTAATGTTTTTGATTAAATTTAACCTTAGAAATTATTTTTGATGACTTGAAACCGATAATAATATTTTAGAAATTAGTTGCAAATAATTGTAAATTTAATTTTAGAACTTAAAAATCACTCCCAATTTGGCAATAAACATTTTTTTGATTGAGGAAGCTAATTACACGTAGTCCCACTAAGTTGACCGATTGATTTGGAATCAACACAAATATTTGGCAAATTAATTGCAAATAATTACAAGTTTCTTTGTACGATTTTAAAATCAATCCATTAATTTTGGCGAATTTTCGCTCCAATTGCAAGATCTTTTCTGCCAAATTTGGGGATGATTTGTAAATTTTAAATGTATATTTTATTTGCAATTATTCACATTTAATTTTCAAAATAATGACATTGGTTTCGAATGGATCAGCTTACTTGGTGGGGCGAAAAAACTTTATGGAAATTAATTTTTTTCATTTACTCTGAAATAACCACTGTCTACGATTATGTTTTTATAGATTATGTGGTTATTATCAACATTATACTTCATAGTTCAGCGTTATCTCTCTTATGCATATCCATATGCACTATCAAGAAGACCATTATTTTTGCTTGTTATTTATTGTTTCTTATATCGATAAAAAATTGTTTTACTTAGACGAACGGTCACGAGGACAAGCAATACTGGTACTTCAATAAACACTATCAGTTTAACACGATTTAACATGATTTTTTTATCTGGCCTTCGGTTTCCGTACATAAACCGGCGAGCGAGTCTTTCATAATATCCCGTGTGTTTTGTCACCTCAGCCCGTTTACTCCAATGAGTCATGTTTTAAATAAAAATAACACTTCTACAAGACTAATGTATTTTATTTTTATAATATGGTTTTTTTTTATTCTGTTAGTCATTGAATAATCTTCAAAGCCGACGCTTTCCTGGCAAAAACTCCTTATTGCAATCACGTGAACTTCTTGTGGAGTCTAAAAGTAAAACAGCAAGTTGACGATCCGATCCGAGGTATACTGCAGAAGATCGACGATATGAGCTGGCGGTACTCCGGGCCGGATCCGTCAATCGTCGGGAACGAGATCAGGGACGTAAAACATCGTGCTACGGTCACTGCCGAACCGGTACAACGAGCTGGACTTCGCGTTAGCCACGGACTACTTCCTGAAGAACCTGGATTCGATAATCGCGAGCGCAATGCCGGAGACCGTGAACGATAACGATACTGCAGACTTCGATCGCGTGCGAGAACAGCAAAAGATCCTGTTTGGCAACGAGATCAGATCACTAAAGGTGGCCGAAAAGAAGTACGTTCAACTGTCGGACGGCGTGGCCTACGAGATCGAAGACTGAACGGGCAGCATGGCCATTGGTGCTTCGGTAGTACGAAAGACGATGGAAAAGCATGTGAGCTAAACGGTCCCGCTAGTTAACGGCAAGATTGGAGATACCGTAGCCAACGGTATCGTCATGACGGAGAAGAAGATCGTGGACGGGAAGTCCGTCGTCGGTGGCATCATTAAGGCCGAACAATCCGTAGTAGACGGCATTTCTAAGGCCGAACACTACGTCAACTTCGGTCTCAGAAAGGCTGACCAGGTTGTAGGCAACACTCTGAACACCACGTTCACTAGACTGAACTGGGTATTTCAGTTCATGAAGAAGGGTTAAACATAGCGTTTGCGGTTTTGTCGTGAAAGTCCGTGATCGATATTGAAACGAAAATCGAATTTTGATGAGATGCAATATTTTATACTTCCGAATTATTAATATTTATACATATTTATACAATAGTAGAACAAGTGTTGTAACGACGTGTAAAATGCGTGTAGCCACAACATTTATAGTATGTGAAATAAATTTATTTTTCCTACGGATTAAGATTTAAAACTAAAATTAAACACTGACAAAGACATCGTATACCAGAAAATATTATTACAAATTATTAACATCACTGTTTTGTCTTTATGGATTTCATAAAATTTGGTATGAACATAATACTATGTTCACATAGTATTATGTGAAAAAATGGAAACAATCAAATATTCATATACTTATTATGAAGTACTTCTATTAGTTGAATAACGTTTCTCAAAGTTTTTCTTCGCAGTAAGTCATAGAAATTCATTAAAATATTTTACATACTTACAAAAGGTTTAAATAAAACTAAGTAAGAATCTTGTTTAAACTTTTTTCTGCAACTATAAAACTTTTTCAATTTTCTTAAACATTCTTTTGATCTCTTTAAACCATAAATATCGCAGACAAACTGATGTTCATATGTTTATATGTTCATGTTTTTTAAATAATATTACATTAATATTATTCTAAAAATAGGAACCCACGTGTATGGATTATATTTATATTTCCATTTATGTATTATCATCATTTCTGATTTTAAGTATAAACTTTGGTATATAATTCCTGTATCGAGAGTAAAATATCATAATATTCAATTGTTCATGTATAAAATAAATTTTTCTTTTTGATAAAACAATGTCCATCGAAAGTCTATCGTTGAATATAAATAATATTATTTAAGCAATTTATATTACGAATATCATACCAGGTACTGTATATTTGGATCGTTTCAATATTTCAGTAGTAAATTAACCGTGTGTGCAATTAATTAGTTATTGGTTGGTCGCAATACAGGCTGTCGATTAAAATACAAATTCTAAGAATTACAATTATAGGTAATTAAAAATAGACTTTTATGATCTTTAAATGTTAACATTTTAAATTTAAATAAATCCATCCAAGTATAATTATTTAAATTCTAAACAAATATGAAATAATATTAACTTATAAAGAAATACTTCTGCCTCATTCTGAGTTTCTGACCTTATGAGAATTTTTTAAAATACATCCTCAATCTGGTATAAAATACATTAAAATATGGTTCTATGTTAAATTGTTATAATACTAAAAAGTTATGAAGTTTAATATAATTTAAAATCATTAGACCCTTAAATGTCTAATGATTTTAAATGTTATAAAGAAATAATTAAAAAACTTATACATTTTTAATAATGAAAAATTAATAAAGTTTCACTTCCTAAAATGAAAAACGAAATAAAATGAATAACGTTTAAATGGTCGTAAAATTCATACAAAATGATTTGTGATTCGACTCTTGATTACATCAAACATTTCATTTATTATTCACCCTAATCGGCTTTATTAAATCACAGGAATATGAATTTCGACATTTTCAAATTTGATCAAGCTATTATTTGAGGTCTTGAAAAATACAACTATAGTAATAATTAGTTTGTCACGACTCAGGGATGAGAATGAAAACGGCTCATAAAGCGTATTTTTTTTTTTTTTTATTGATGAAGCCACAACTACAATGGTTATTGGCTTTTTAATCTAAAGTTATATTTACATATTGAAGGGAGGTACAACTGAATACATAAAGAGTTATATCAAATTAAATTGTACATTTTTGTTAATTTTAAAAATTTAAAAATTTTGTAAACATTTTCTGGGTCTGGACTTAGTGCTTGCTGGAGGTTGTCGGATATTTCTAGACTGCCCTTGATGTCTCTGTATATTAGGCAGTTGCAAATTACGTGTTTGACTGTGAGAGTTACTCCACAGGTGGGGCATAGGGGAGGATCCGTTCTGTTCATGAGGTGTCCGTGGGTCAACCATGTGTGGCCAATTCTTAATCTGTTGAGGATTACTTCCTGCCTACGAGGTAAAGATGTAACTGGCCATGGATATATTGAGGGTGTTATCTCATTAAGTTTGGTGTGCATTATTTGCCATATCTGTTGCCACTGATTTGTTATAAATTTGTTAATTATGTTTTTGCTGTCTTGTAGGGTATGGATATTAATTTGATGTGCATCAGGAGAGCTAATGGCTTGTTTGGCGTATGTGTCTGCTAATTAATTTCCTTGGATTCCAACGTGGCTTGGGATCCAAATTATAGTGATTGATTGAGATTGGAGTTCTAAAGACGATATTTGGTTTTGAATCTTTCTGCTAATGTCGTTAGGTTGAAGATAGTTTTGGATGTTGGTTAAGGTGCTTAGAGAGTCACTGAGTATGATGGATTTAGTTATTTTATTTTGTTTAATGATATCGAGTGAGTGAGAAATTGCGATGGCTTCAGCGGAAGAAATTGTACATGAGTTTGGAATCTTGATCATTATTTTATTCTCTTTGTATATCACAGAGGCTCCTACTCTTTTGTCCGTTTTTGACCCATCTGTGAAAAAAATTGTGTATTCTTTGTAGTCTTCGAGCAATGATTATAGTTCACTGTTATACGTTTTTGGTAGAGTTTTGCTTTTGGGTAGGTCAGATATTGAAATATTTACATTTATGTTTAAGATCCATGGGGGACTATGAGGTTTTTGTGTTTAATGACCCCGGATGGGTCGATGGATATATGTAGAAGTTCGTCTTTGATGATTCGGTGTGTCTTGAGACTATTTTGGATTAGCCTTATATAAAAGAGTATAGTATTTTTTTTCTTATTAGGTGTATTGGAGGGGTATTGGTGATGTTATATAAGCTGGAGGTGGGACTGGATCTGAATGCTCCAGAAACTAGCCTTAGTCCGAAATTGTGTATCGTTTCAATGGTTTTGAGATGTGATGGTTTGGAATTTATGAAGAGGAAGGAACCGTATTCGAGCTTGGATAGTATGAGGGATATGTAGATCTGTTTGAGGGAAAGTGAGTTAGCTCCCATGAGGTATGTGAAAGTGCCTTGAGGGTGTTAATTCTTATAGTGGACACTTCTCGTAATTCTCTTAGGTGTGTGCACCAAGTATTTTTGCTATCAAATATAATGCCTAAAATATTGATAGTCTTAGAGGTTGCGATTTGAAGATCATTTATTTTGATTTGCAGTGTATTGTATTTTCTGAGTTTAGAGAAGATGATGCACAGTGATTTTGTGGCGGAAAAGCGATAGCCAGAAGTAGCCAATCATTTTTCTAGTGAAGATAATGTGTCTTGTAATATTGGTTGTATGCTATTTATATTTCTCCCTCGGCACCATATGGTTTGGTCGTCGGCAAAAAAAGTATGGTTTACGGGGAGTTTAATTGATTCACTTACGTCATTAATAGCTATGAGGAAAAGGGTGACAGAGATGGTGGATCCTTGAGGGACGTCGTTTTCTTGTTTGAGGGTTAAGGAGAGGTGGCCATCAGTTTTGATCTGAAAAGTTCTGTCTGACAAGAAGTGTTTGATAAAATTGAGCATATTTCCGTGACAAAGTATCTTGTGTAGTTTTTCTATTATTCGTGGGCGCCATGTGGTGTCATATGCTTTGGCAATGTCGAGGGCAACTAGTCCTAGAACTTGTCTGGCTTCGAATGTTTTTTTTATATCCTTCTGTATGTCATGTAATCTATTATATGTGCTTCTATGTTTGAGAAAACCATTTTGTTGGGAGGAAAGGTAGTTAGTTTTTTCGAGAATCCATCTCAGTCGTATGTCGATGATTTTTTCGAGGATTTTACGCATTGTATTTAATAACGATATTGGTCTGTATCCTTCAGTTGAGAATTTGTCCTTTCCGGGTTTTAGGATAGGTATTACGAAAGAGTGTTTCCACTTTTTGGGAATTTGTCCTCTTTCCCAAATTTTGTTATATAAGTGAAGTAAGAATTGTATTGCGGACGTCGGAATGTTATGTATGAAGTTGTATGGGATTTCGTCGGGTCCGAGAGATAAGCTTGAACATTTAGATAGTGCCCAGTCTAATTCAGTTGCACTGATTGGAGCGTTGAGATATTGTTGGTCTTATTGTGATGGATCGATGTTTGATTGAAGGTGGATGTGTCTATTTGTGATGTGTTTATTTATGAATGAGTCGTCGTAGTTACTGTCAGAACTATTTAGATAAAAGTGGTTACCTATTAGATTGGCTACTTCAGAAGGATTTGTGCGTAAGTTGTTGTCATTTACGATATGAATGTGTTTTTCTCTGCTGTATCCTCTTAAGGATCTTACTTTGCTTCAAACCGAGTTGAGATCGCTTTTGGGTCCTATAGTTGAGGTAAATTCTTCCCATGACTTTTTTTTGCTGTTCTTTACTAAAAATTTGGTTTTTGCTCGGAGTTGTTTTAGTTTTATGTGATTTTCGATTTTACCTGTTTTTGGAATACTTTTAGTGCGTTATTCTTGTTTTTGATTGATAATTTGATTTCAGGATTCCACCAGGGTAGGGAATTTGTTATTTTTGGTTGAATGGTTTGTTCCTCCTATTGATATGTTAGCCGCGTTTATAATGGAGTCAGTTATATAGTTGACGTCGGATAGGATCGGTCCGTCTTTAGGAGGAGGATTGGTGGTAATATATGAATCTGTTAATTGGGTGAAAAGTTCCCAGTTGGCTTTTTTTAATTTTCATCTACGAGGGGATGTTTTGGGTGGGCTTTACTTGATAGTATTTCTATTTTGATAGGGATATGGTCACTGTCGTAGATTTCGGGTAACGTTGACCATACTGTTCGTTGAGCTAATGATGTACTGCTTAACGAGAAGTCTATCGATGAAAATGTTCCATTAGCTGGGTTTAGGCGTGTAGGTTCACCATTATTTAGTAAGGTGATGTGTCGATTTCTAGGATCTTTTCAATTTGTTTACCTCTACCGTCGGTTTTGTCAGATCCCCAGTGCACGCTGTGACTGTTAAAGTCCCCCAGTATGAGGAAGGGAGTTAGTAGTTGTTGGATTATTTGTTCTATGTCAGAGGCTTCAAATGTTTTCTGATTTGGTATGTATACATTGCAGATTGTGATTTTGGTCTCTAGTTGGATAGTTGCAGCTACTACTTCTATTGTGGTTTGGATTGGGATTTGAAAGCTAGGAAATTCTGATCATATTAGTGTAGCTACTCCTCCGCTTGCGCGGTTGCATTGTGTTCTGTTGGAGATGTACGTGTTGAAATTCTTTATGTGAGGTGTATAACTGTCTTTTAAGTTCGTCTCTTGCAGATATATAATGGTCGGGTTGTGGATTTGATTAACTATTTTAATATCGTTGGGTTTTTTAACGAGTCCATTTATGTTCCATTGTATAATATTTATACTCATTATTTTTATTTTATTTAATTTTTAATTTTTTATATTGTGATTGTTCTATAATTTGGTTCAGTTTTTAAATTATCATGTAAGATTACGTATTATTTGTGTGTCTTGTTTTATTTTTGGTTATTATTAATATGTTCTTATTCTTGAGGTGTTGATTGGAATAATAGATTAGATAATTTAGTAAGTTTTATTTTTAGCGCCCGGTCTTTTATCATTGGCCTATTTATTTCAATAGTTGTAGATACTGTAGGTATGTCTACCGTGGTTTCATTATAGAGTGTATGAATGTTAATAGCTTTGTTTAAGAAGTTTTCTAATATGTAATTGAATTGAGAAAATGTCATTGGAATTTCGTCATTTTCAGAAAATATGTTTTGGATGGATTTAAGAATGTCTTCAGTTGTTAAATTTTCAAGTGAATTGCTTTTTTTTAGTTTTTTATTTGGTTCTTTGAGTTTCCCCTTAGTATTTTTAGATTCACTCAATTTAGTTATTAGGTTTTTGGACTGATCACGATTTTCGTTTTTTGGGTATGTTTCGGGTGGATTCGGGGTTGCAGGTGATGTGGGGGCAGCTTGATGATGGAGGAGATCTTTTGGTTTGTATATTGGGTAGACATGTGGTAGTATTGGGTTGAATTAATGTGTTTAGATTGTGACTGTTTTTAGGGATGTCGTTAACATATTCTTCGATTTTATTGTTTTCTTGAGTAGAGTTCGAAGAAGTGACGGGGGTGTTTTCTTTTGTTGTTGCTTTTTGTGTGATATTTATGGTAGTGTTTGTAGAGTTTAATTATTTTTTACAGTAATTGGATGTGTGACCGGTTTGTTTGCATAGGTAACAAGTGAGTGTATCATCGGTTAAGAATATTCTGAAGTCTGTGTTATCATAATTAACTATTAACGATCCGAGTACCTTTTCTATATCATCTGGGTGTATATATATCTGTCGCCTAAAACTACTTATGTGTGAGAGTTCGTCTTGGAAACCGGCTTTTAAGAATTATATTGGAGATAGTGTTTTAATATTGAATGATAGAAGGTGTTCAGTGATTATGTCATGCGGTATAATTGGGTGAGCATTAGATATTATGAATCGTTTGGCTGGATTGACTAGTCGCCTAAATGGTATTTGATTTTCATTTACTGATACGTATGAACGAGTAGTTTTTAATTAGTTCGTCGACCGTATTTTTATCTCTAAAGTATATACAAAATCTGTTGTTTGATATACGAGAGGCGAACGTGATGTTTTTTGGTAGAGTTATTTTTCCAAATGCTTTAACATATTCAATTTGAGGTATCTCGTTTATTGTATTAAGTATGATGGCTTGATCTTTTTTTGGGAACATTGTGTTTGCTGTTGTTTCGGCGAAGGTTTTAGTATGATTGTAATTTGGTTGAAGAGATTGTGATAAATTTTGTATGTTCATAGTTTTAAATTTCCGATAGAATTTTATCGGCTTAATTAGGCCGCGGTGAGCCGCCGGCCGTTAATTATGTATTGTGGTTCACAGTGAATAAGATTACATATTACCTGTTTCGTTTGTAATTGTTGTGTCGGTATATACTATAAGCGTTTTGCTATCGGGAGCTAATAAATGCGACAAAGAAAACGCGTGTGCTTTGCTCGGTGGTCAAACACGTACTGATAAAGCGTATTGTTAAATATAAAAATAAAAATATGCTTCTACTGCTAATTAATTAATTTCCAAAGCTTTGCAAATTTCATAATAATTGTGATTACATTTATTTTAATATTTTAATATAAGTAAGGGTTACTTTAGTTAACTCAGGAACTTGAATAAGTTACAAGTTATTAAATAAAATGAATTACTAGGTAGTTAAATGTCTAGTTAAAAAAAAAAAAAAAATAATAATAATAATTGAATAAAAAAATATTAGTTAAAAGTAATTTTTAATTGTGAGTTATTAATATTTAAATAGGACATTTTCTTAGAAGAACTTATTATTATATTGCTACAATATAGAACCCGTTAGGCCTTTTCAATGTATTGAGAAATACAGATTATTGTTGGTCTGGAACAATTTTTTTTTGTATTAAAATTGATAAATTTGATAAAAATTATCACTTATGTACTACAAGTTCTACTAGTTAATATAAAACATTATAATGATTAATATTATTATAGATATAATAATAATAATAATAATAATAATAATAATAATAATAATAATAATAATAAT